GTTGTAGTAGACATTGAGGGGCTCAAGCTGCAGATCGGAATCGGCCGGTGGAGTCGAATACTTAGATTTGTGGCTTAAGTTGAATATAAATGCGTAAAGAGTACGCAGAGGCAAGTGGTGGCTTTTTTTTGCATCGGTTAATACGTAGAACCGATGCAAAAGACTCTTGTACCTTTTTTAAAATATTTGGGTTAAAGCTTTTGCATCGGTTTTTAGAAAATAACCGATGTAATTGGTTATTTGCATCGGTTATTATAATAACCGATTCAAATAACAACCGGTTGACGAAATTATTTACCATTAGAATCGGTTTTTGCGACTCTGATGCAAATGAGACGATTTTTTTGCCCGATTTTGTACTAGTGCGCTTTAGACATTTTTATATGTTTATCATATAATATATGAAACGATTAATGTATAAAAATGAGCTGAGTTGCGTTACAAGATATTCTTTATTTATTTTCGTTTATTAAGAAAATTCAACATGCACCAAAAAGACTAGAGTAAGTATCTATGGTGGACACACAAGATATCAACCAAGAAATAATGACTTTTGAGTTGAATCCCACGAAAATATAATAGGGGGTGTTTGTATGTATGATGACCTTGGTTATTTTAATATAAAGAGGCTCTAGCTAAAAGAAAAACATTCACCATTTAATTTATATTTGATGAATAATTAAAAGTTCTTGAGATTTGCCAATTCAATTCAAGCTGATGTGAACGTACTCATCGATGGCATTTATTAATATTGTGAATATGAAAAATACAAGAGAAATTCTTCAAAAAATTATTCTTTCCATTACCCATATTATTATTATTATTATTTATTAAAATAATATACAGAGTATATAGTTAAATCAACTGCAGTTGGTACTAAACAACTCAAATTATCAAAAACAAGCACACAGTTCAATATATGTAAACGTATGCACGTACATTTGAGAATTACGGAGTATATAGTTTGACAACAAATTATGTAAAAAATATACTCCCTCTGTCCCAGAAAATTTTTATCCTTTCTTTTTTCATCCGTCCCAAAAAACACTTCTCATTTTTATTAAAAAATCACTTTTACCTCTTACTTTTTCATACCCTACCTATCACATAATACCTTTTTACTAATAATCTATCAATCGAATCATACTTTTTCTCATCACATCAAAGGACATTTTTGGAAATTCAACACCAAAATACACTTCCCTTAAATCCTTGTCCAAAATCAAAACTTTCATGTTTTCCGGGACCGAGGGAGTATTTATTAGTTATAATACTCCATCCGTTCTCAAAAACACTTTCTCTTTCATTTTTTCTACTTCCAACAAAACACTTTCCCTTTCTATTAAAAAACCACTTTTACCCTTACTTTTTCATACCCTACCTATCACATCATACTTTTTCTCTAATAATCTATCCATCACATCTTATTTTTACCCATCACATCAGAGGCAAAATTGGAAATCAACTATAATTTAACGCTTCCTTATTTTTTTCCTCAAATCAAATGGGAAGGGTTTTTCCAAAAGGAGGGTGTATAAATTAAGTAAAATTTATATCATGGTGTGTGTGGGAAGTATAGTGAGTAATATCATATCATAGGATGTGAAGGGTTGGTGCTAAATACTCATGGCATGGCTCACAAACTTTGAACTTGCAATTTGGTCGGTAACTAATTACCACAAAATGTGCGCCCTCATGATGAGCGAAAATCCATAATAAAACATTGAACGGATCTTCAAATTTGGAACACATGAGATTTTGTGCCCTAACTTTTGCGCCAATAATGAAGCACTACATCCACCCATTATTTTTGAAGAAAAAAATCTTGAGGAACCCTAAGTTATTTTAGATTTGATCCCAAATCCCAATGCCTTCACAAATATTATAAAGTAAAATTTGTCCTAAATAGGACTAAAACATAATGACTTTCCTAATGTAGAATTTAAACTTTTTTATTCTCTAAATAAGACTTAATAATGACCTAGTGGGAGGAATAATGTCCAGTAATGATAGACATTTACTTGAATAATGACTACTTCGTAATGACTACTTCATAATGACTAAATGTCCTACATTGAGAAATAAAAACATATGGTCCTATATTGGGAAAGTCATTATGTTTTAGTCCTATTTAGGTAAATTTCTCTATTATAAATACGAAATAATGTTCTGTGTATGTTAATTAAGACTTTGAAGTTAAAAGTGTGGTGGAGCTTGAATCCCTCGAACATGACTCATTTTTAAATTTTAATTTCTCTAACTATAATACATATGCTATATAGCCCACCCAATACAAACATATATATATACCTAAAAAACTACAGTACTATAGAGAATTTATATCAAAATTGAGTTTTTTTATATATTTTATCTCGCTCTAAAAAATTGCGAATGCTAGGAGTTTGGAAGGAATATTATGAGCCTGTTTGGAAATAACGTTAGCATTTTGAAAAGGCTATCTACGGACAGCGTTTAACGTTAGTGTTTTCAAAGTAATCTGCACCGTTAAAATTTTATACAAAACGCTAGCGCTAATCTCTAACACTGTTTTCAAACAGGCCTTATGTGTGTACGTAAGTTTAGTAATTGAGATCTATATACAAGTGGTGCTCGGGTGGGGGGAGGGGGTGGGGGCTAGGGTGGCTAGAGTGAGGTGTAGGGGTACGAGGTGGGTGTTTGAGGGAAGTTATGTAGAATTGAATTACTTCTATTTTTGTTATCCGCACAATTGCACCCGACTATGATTCTCTCATTTTTCTCCCCAAAATGAAAGAAATTTAGTTTTTCTCTCATCTTAATACATTTTGTCTTCTATTTTTTTTTCATTTTTTTTCTTTTCCTCTCTAATTAAACAAGAAAAATATTTTCTTCTCATTTTCTTTTCTTTTCTCTTTCAAATTTCTTGAACCAGACATAGTATCAATGACTCTTTTTTGGGAGAAGAACTCAAATAGGATAGTAGAACCCTTTAAAAAAAGATTTTAGTAGGATTAAATTAGTAACATATTGCCCAATTTGTTCGAAGAGATAATTATTACTCCTCCACCATTGTCACACACTCACACTATCAACTCCGTCACTACACTCCCAACACCATTACCGTCATATTATCACCACCGCCGCCCACTGCCAACTACGTCGCCACATTACCAACTCCGCCGCCACACTACCACCACCATTTTCCGCTACACTGCCAAACCTCGCCACCACACTGTTAATTAAGTCCACTGCCACACTCCGCCACCGCACTGCCACCACCATCGCCGCCATATATACTTCCACACATCCACCACCGTTGTCGCCTTGCCACCACACTGTCAATTTCTCCGCCACATTACCAAACTCCGCTAGCACCCTGCCATTGTTGCCGCCACCTTATGCCGCCACACCACTATTGCCGCTACACTACCACCCTCCTCTACTACATTGCCACCATCAGGTCCTGAACATTGCGTAGGAAGAATGGATCAGGAGGGGTAAATTCGGAAGAAAAGTTAAGGCCGACTCCTACAAAAATAATTACTTAGATATACTCTTAGGGTCCATTTGGTATAAGAAATTGATAGAATTGGAATTGAATTAGAATTCGAATTCCATAGGATTCAATTCCATAAAATTGAATTCTGTCAATTTCAATTCATTTTTTGTACTATCAATTCCAAATCCACATAACTTTTGTGCTACCAAACACCAGAATTGGAATTGAAATCTCCAATTCCAATTCCATAGTTTGAATTCCATGTACCAAACGGGACTTTATTTATGTCTTTCATAATATTTTTACTCTTATCTATGAGGATTTCCCTTTCTTAAAAAAGAAGTTTGGGCCTCCGCTTCCAGATAATAGGCCCAACGAGTTGGTTCCTCGCCCACAATACCAGTAGTGTTTGTGGCCTTTGAACAATGGGCTTATAAAAACGCGGTTTCTTTTAGCCGGGTAGAGAGTGGACTTTGGAACAACCCGACTCGACCCACAGAATCCAATCATGAATCGTCATCCCTAATTCATGTTTTACCGGTTCCGAGAGAAGCTCTCGGCAACGCAAATCTCTGTCAGGAAGCCGTCGTTTCTGCAACTTTAATCGTCTTCTGCTTCGAAGGAGAAGGGTGAAAACATCGCTCTATCTCTGTAAGCATAAAAAATCAGGGCCTTATTGCTGCCGTTTAAGGTAACGTTTTCATTCGGATTATATGATCAAACTGCTCACTTTCAATTTCATTGTTTCCCTCTCCCTTCATCGTCCTCTTAGTTTCCGGCATCCTCAAATGCTGCTATTACGTCTATGAATGAATGCGTATTCTCTGTTTTTTTCTTGATAATGTTATCCCGCATCACCTTTGAAAGCTTGAGAAGGCAACTCTATTGTTTTATTATGTAGTAATTTTTGCTTGTTTTCCTGTTTATGTTATGTTCCTTGCGTCTGGATTTAGTTGTCTACTCTAGTTTTGGAGCATAGGAATTAAGTGTACACTTTTTATTCTTAGTAAAGAAATTATAGAGAATTATCAAAACTATCCCGAAAATGTTAGGATTGTTTCCATCGTCAATGGACGATAAACTAATTCCAAGGAGGTATTTGTTATTTCGTGATCAATACTTAAATTTGAAGAAATTTAGAAAGGTGACAACTACATTTGGATGGAGGGAGTAGTGGAGTACATTTGTATGATGTTGAGCATATCCTATGTAGAATTTGTCCCCAGCTCACACAACCCAACCGATGTATTTCTTGTGGTCTGCCTAGATGTGTTAGCCAATGGCATGCGGTAAGTCTTGCCTTTAGTAATGTGCACTATACTACTCCGTAATTGATATCGGACTTCACTTTTACTATCACACAAATACTATTTATGGCTGATAGAAGAGCCCCAAGTGTGGGAAGAAATGTGAATTTCGGATGGTCAAGTAGGAATTGTTAATGTCGGGATCAATCCAAATAGACCAAGACCTTTTTGGTGGGAGTAAATTTTGTTGAATCGCTAGAATAGATTGAATTTCCTTATATTCTTGGAATGGATGATACTAGACCTGGCAAAAATTGACCCGACCTGTTTATGACTCGAGACCCAACTCGGAATTACTAGTTTTGAACAAAGGTTTTGTTGACCGAACCTAAATACAACCAAACCCAAAATGACCCACCAAAAATGGGGCAAACACGACAAAATTCCAACCCGACCTGCTAACGTAAGAGTTTTTCGACATCATGTAGTTTAATATGAAAGATAATGCAATAAAAATAAGGTTATGTGTTTTTCTTATTACTCTTTTTTAGTTTATTAACTTATTTTTTCAAACATTTTTTAAGTGTTACATATTTGATTTTTATACTCTTCAAAGTATTGTTAAATATATCTAAAAAGTGGTTAAAGTTCAAAATAAAATATTCTAAGAGGTGTTATATATGTACTTTAATATTTTAATACTCATATTTTTTTAGTGCAAAATATAAGTGCTAGTATGAATTTACATTTTCTAAAAATAAATTTCATACCTCGTTGGGTTGACCCGAACCTGATGACACAGAGTCATGAATATGTAGTTTCAACTCAAGCCCAAACTTATCCGAATTTGATGTAACACAAACTCGAAGTGACCAAACTCAAACCCGGCATGACTGACAGATTTTCCGGGTTAGTCCTTGGGGGAGCTAATGCATTGAATAAAATAGCATTTGGGAGAAAATTTGGCATATAAGGTTAGTTAACCCGAAAAGTGTTGCCTAGCAGAGCTTAAGGCCCAAATACATTTTTTTAACATAAAAATGCACAATGGTTGCTTTTCAGGTTTCACATATTTAGGGAGACAAAAACCAATAATGCACTAAATTAAGGGGAAAAAATATTATTCCTATTTTGGCTTCCAAATGCACAATGGTTACTTGTAATCAACTTAAGAAGATAAAACAACACAAAAGGGCATCTACAAATTAGGACCTGTATACAGTTTAGTAGACTGTTTCCATCATCTATGATGGAGCCAAAGATTTATCATTTTTGGCTCCGGGTTAGTGAAATAACAGTTAGTCAATGCAACTTTGGTGTTCATCGCGGGTATGTGGAAACAACTGCTCTATAATTTAAACATAGGGGGTCGGGTGGCATACATCCGACCCCCTACCCTGCAATGGGTGGGAGCCTTCGAGGCACTGTGGTTATGTTGTTGCTTTATAGTTTATATATACAGTTTCGTAGACTACTGACTAGCTTAAGTTTGATCAGAAAATGTGATTGTGACCACACCTTCGTCTTTAGATGTCATCTTGTCAATAATGTGGTCTATATCTTCCAGGGAAACCGTTGATTCGGGAAATGCTCGAGTGAGAAACAACTTGATGTAGTGATGTGCTCATATTGCAATGCCTGGACAAGGATATGATTATCAACGTTTTGAAAGAACTAAAAGCATTCATAGGTCAGGTTACATTTCTTTCCAGTGCCCTGTATATGATAGTGGTGAGGGATTGATCGATCTATAAAGTATGGCCACATACTCAAACTGTGCACTTGGACCAAATTCTACTGAAAATGATCATCTAAATGCCAACACCGGGTTGACTTTAAGCAAAGAATACATAGAAAAGCGAGTTGAAACAGTAATAGTAGAATCTGACAATGCGCTTTTGAGGACACCACAGGATGATTTGAAATTGATTTTCGGCTCTGAGAATGTTGGTTTGCCACTTCAAAATGAGGGAGACATTTCTTTAGCCGAACCATGTAAAGATGTTGATGATAATCTAGTGCAGTTAGAGCTCAAAGATAAAGGACACTCAGAGCCACCAAATGTAAGCCTTACCAGAGTTTTGCGTCCCAGAAAACAAAAAAGTTCTGAATCTCCTGTACCGTATTATGCTGCTGGAACTGACAATTGTGAAAATGTTGAAGTGAATAGTAATTGCAATACTCTGAAGAGAAAAGAAAAGCAGAGGAAACATATTGCTGTTGACGAATTTTCAAGGATAAGGGCAAAGCTGAGATATTTTCTCCACCGAATAAAATATGAACAAAACTTAATTGATGCGTACTCTACCGAAGGATGGAAAGGACAGAGGTTAGTACCATGTGCTCTTCTCTACACATGCTCATGTGGGGGTTGTTGCTTTAGTCTTATCATTGTTGATATTCTTGCTGAGAGAGTTTGTCAGATTTAATTTGTGTTTATTATTATGAATAATTTTCAAGCTCGAAAAATCAAGTGTCATGAATTGATGATTTGAAATGTAAGTTAGGGGAACATAAAGTGACCATTTATTGCTTTTAGGTTTACGAAAAATATAAAGGTGTACCTTACTGAAACAAGACTTTATTTTTTGGGACGGAGGCCGGGGAGAGTAAAACTTTCACCCACTTTAATCTATCAAGGGAAAAGGTCAAAGCCCATCTCTATTCATTGCTAGTCATTCATCATGCAAATAATCTATTATATGTATATTATTGCAGCTTAGAAAAAATCAAGCCTGAGAAGGAGCTACAGCGTGCAAAATCTGGAATTTTCAATTACAAATTGAAAATAAGAGACCTATTTCAATGCATTGATATGCTGCTTGCACAGGGAAGGCTTCCAGAGTCTTCATATGATTCTGAGGGACTGATCAACAGTGAAGATGTATTCCTTTTTTTATGCATGCATATTTTCACTGTGTTATTGTTGGATATTGCTTTGATCATACTGCCCAAATGCACAAAATGTTGATGTAATCTAAAAGATGGTTGTTACTATATCAGATATTCTGTGCGAAGTGTAGTTCTAAGGATTTGGCAGTGGATAATGATATTATACTGTGCGATGGTGCTTGCGAACGTGGGTTTCACCAATTATGTTTAGAACCGCCTTTGTTGAAAGCAGACAGTAAAGCCTAATCTATTAAAAAGCCGTATTTTTGCAATTGGTTAAATGCCTTGGGTTTTTATACATTCAAAATTTATATTTACTTTTTGCACTTACAGTTCCACCAGGTGATGAAGCCTGGTTATGCCCTGGATGTGTTTGCAAATTGGATTGCTTTGTCTTACTTAACCAACATCAAGGAACGAATCTTTCTCTTACGGATAGTTGGGAGGTCAGTCCTAGTGCTACAAATGCAGACTGGTTTTTTGTTGCTAAATGCCAAATGTATAAAAATATAATCCAACAGATATTAAGGCCTTTGGTTATTCCTCAAAGTTGATTTACCTTCCAAAATGAAATCCCAAGTCTTAATATGGTGTCTGAATGAGAAATTCGATCATGATTAAGCTAAAACAAAGAAAACAATGTTTGAATATTGACTTGTTTTAACCAGCCACGGGCATGTCAAGTCATCTCATATATAGTAAATATAAAAAAGCAAACCAAGATCTAAAGTCCTTGATACTTCTAGAATATAACCACTAGATACTCACAAAGCTTTTTTGGTGATTTCAGAAGGTATTTCCAGGGGAGGCAGCCACAGCCACAGGAGTGAAGAGGCTGGATGATATTTCTGGGTTACCATCAGATGATTCTGAGGATGATGACTATAACCCTGCTAATAATTTGGAAGTAGAGGAAAATGTTTCAGATGATGAATCAGCGTCTTCAGAAGAATCTGATTATTTTTCTGCGCCTGAAGATTTGGAAGAACAATCACATATTGATGATCTGGATGTCACGTGCCTTCCTTCAGAGGATTCTGAAGATGAGGATTATGATCCAGATGTTCCAGGCGATGATGATGCCCAGGTTATGCGGGAAAGTTCCAGTTCAGATTTTACCTCAGACTCTGAGGATGTTGGTCCGGTAATTAATCAAAGTGGGTACCTTTCCCATGAACAACTTGGAAACATTAAAATAGGTGGTGGAGCAGGGGAACACTCATCAAATGATGAACCACCATGCCTACAGTCCAATGATAAACTTGTTTCTGGGGAAAGACACCCTGAGCAGGATAAAATGTTGCATGATGTGAGTCTCTTAACTATAATATTTGCACCTATGAAGTCTTCCCCTGCATGAAGTCCATTTTTTTCCATGTATTTTTTTTGTTAAATTTAGTGTGTTTTACTTGGGTTTTGTAACTTTTGTTTGGAAATGAAAATTGTTAGGAAAAGAAATTACAACAAAATCCAGTAGAATTCAACAAAACGTAGGGTCTGGGGAGGTATGTATGCAGACTTTACCTCTACCCGAAAGTAGATAGGTTGTTCCCAAGAGACCTCCAGCTCGAGGAACAAAGAAGACACTTAGCACGAAAAAAGAAGCAAAGAGCAAACTAAGGGCAAAGAAAAGCACAAATAGACAAAAAGCACACAAACTGCCTCTAGCAACAACACAATAAGGACAGCATACAAAGGCAAGAGCAAAAACTACCTCTAAGGCCCATACAACTATCCTAGTCCCAGATCTCTGTATGCTCCTATCTAAGATTCTAAGGTCTTATAGAGGCTAAGTTTGGAGAGAGGGTTTGGGGTAAAATGTTACATTTTATCAACCTTAGTATAGATACATACATTTTAGACATTTTTTTACATTCCATTCAATCACATCTTTATATTATATTAAGATTAAATGGTCATTATTGACTATTTTAGCTTCAAGCACATAGACTAAATCAAAATGACACATTAAACCTCTTTTGCTTACTTTCTGTGAAGTTTTGGATAGTGAATGCAACAATGCATCAATAGTCTCACATAAACCGCCTCTCTCGTTTTACAGGAATAAAGTTGCGTACATCTTGACCCCCGGTCCCCAACGGAGTTGAGATTATACTAGGTTTTGTCATTGCTGATTTGTACTCCATCTAGCCCATAAAAAAACTTGTTTAAGTTTCATGGAGATATCCTTTCTATTGTTTCTAGATAGGGCTAAGATCTACATACCCCACTCCCTCTAGACCCCATGTGCCGGTTGTTTTTTGAGTTCCGTGGTATTTAAGAAAAGTGTTGAAAAATGAACCATATGCTAGCTAGAACTTGTTTAGAAGAGAAAGAAATGTTGTGAATACTTGTTATCCACATATTTCATTCCTTAAAAGGAAATGGAGGATGTGTGAAGATTTTCTGGGACGGACAAAAAAAAAGTAAAGAGTGAAGTTTTTTTGCCGGTTGGAGGGAGTGTTGTGCAGAGACTGAAAAATAAAAATATTTGTAAATTGTCAAAAAGCATAAAAAACTTAACTCAAACATATATTTTCTTTAGCATTTTACCTTCCTTACCATTTTCAACATTCCAAACATTGCCTTTTTCTTTGCAAAGTCAAACTTTGTTTCTTGAGCTGAAATTTGTGGTGATGTTGATATAATATGTTGACATTTGAACTTTGAAGGGAATATGTCAAAGTACATCTCCTAACTCCGGTGATAGAGAATATGGATGTACCGCTACAAAAAGGAAGGATAGAAATCTCAAAGCCAACGAGAAGTCATGTGATCAGACTCGAAATAGTGATGCAAATACTAGTTTTAGCCAGATTGAAAATAAAAATACCACACGGAGAAAGAATAAAAAAAGGCAGAAAGTTGAAGGTTTGGCGACATCCAAAAATGGTTCAAGTAGTAAGAGAATTGGTAAATCAAAATACGGAGAAGATGCAATCAAGGTAAAATAGAGTTTTTCCTTCTGACTTCCAATGCTGAATGATATATGCTCGAATACCACACACATTCACAAATATCCTTAGTTTTTAATTTTGATCCTTTCACTTCGAACCTTTTCTATAATTTCCAATTTTTATTCGTTTCACTTGTTCAGTAGGTATGAATGTATGATACTTAAAAGTTTCTCTGTTTCTTGCAGAGGCTCTATGAGTGCTTCAAGGAAAATCAATACCCAAAGCGCGATGTCAAGGAAAAATTAGCTTCAGAATTAGGACTTGCAATTCAGCAGGTTCAGTATGCACCCCTACTCAACCTATTGATTTATCTAATGCTTTGATACTTACTCTTATAAATCATCCTTTAATTGAATTAAAAAAGCGTTTGTTGTCAAATTGATTTCCATCATGTCTAATGAAGCCAAAGATTCACTATTTTTTGGCTTTGGAGTATGATGGAATAAAAACAGCCGCTCTATGTCTTAAACATAGTGGTCAGGCTGTGTACATCCGACCCCCCCCCCCACCTCGCAATGGGCAGGAGCCTTTGAGGCATTGGGGTAATGTTGTTGTTGTCAAATTTCTAACATACCCCAATTTAACATTGGGGTTAGGTGAAGTTTACCTTACACTTATTTATTAGAATCGAACTTAGCAAACTATCGATGTATGACACTCATTATAGTCCTCTCATGTAGACTTGACAAAATTCATCCAACTTAATTTTTTAAAAAAGATTTTGTTATCCAAACCCTAGGATTAATGAACCCGAAATGACCCACTTAAAAGGGTCAAACCGAACCGAACTCGAATCAGACCTGACCGACTTGTTATTGTTAAGGTAAGGCTATATAAAATTCTTGTACTTTAATATAGGAATTATAATAAAAATAATGTTATAATATACAGAGTATTCTTTTTTTTCTTATCACTTCTTTTTTAATGTATAAACTTATCTTCTTCAATGAGTTTTAATGATATAGCATTGTTGTCTTTTTTTTTTCCAAAAATTGTACATAATTTTAATTTTTATATGATTTATACTTCGTAATATTGTTGTATATATCTAAAAAATTATAAAAAAATTCAAAAAAATACTCCCTCCGTCCTATAATGATCTTCCCAGAGCACTATTCCAACTTCACGGGAACTTATATTTATTTGTGTTTTTTCATGGCCTATATGGTAAAATAAAATATTCTTGTCACCACTTGTTTTGTTGAACTTTTGATGTAGTTTTTAAATATGTATGTTTTATTTTTTATTTCTATACCAATATTTAAATAAAATAGATTGAAAAAACTTGAGATTTTTCTTCGTTTTGCGAACCGGGAAGATCATTATAGGACGGAGGGAGTATTATTTAGCTTTAATATAATATATATATATATATATATGTGTGTGTGTGTGTGTGTGTGCATGTATGTATGTATGTATATATGTATATATTGTTTCAACTTTTTTATATTTGTTTTTAATGCAAAATACAAGTGCTAGCAGTGATATTTGTTCAGGTGGGTCTACCTGAACCTAATGACATCAGGTCCTGAACATGCACTTTCTAACCCCGAACCCAAAGTAATCCGAATGCGACCACCGATTTGTTTGCGAGCTCTAGACTCAGGTCTAGCTGGGCTAGATAATTAAATGGTGGACAAATGGGACAAAAGTCACAAAACCGACATACAAACGAAACTCATATCAATGCAACATTAGGGCACTTACTGCTTTTTTAATCTTTTCGATTTGGTCTCTATATTATTCCGTTATACTCTATGTTTTCTTCTAAAAAATTAATGGTGCAGGTTCATAAATGGTTTGAAAATGCTCGCTGGAGCTTTAACCACTCATCAAACAATCAAAAGCAAGGAAGCAAACCTAACTGAATTTGTANCCCCCCCCCCCCCCAAAAAAAACGCATAGATCCCATTCCCAAGCGCCTGTGGGAATGTCATCCCAAACACAAGAGTTCACTTGTTTTGGCGATCGGATATGGGTTCAAGAAGTTTCTGGAAGCAACAAATCATTGGTCATCAGATTATTAATGGCAAAGCGGCGAATTTGGGTTTGCAAGGGACAGTAGCCCGCAAATGCCTGATTATCCGCACACTAACGCTTTTGCTTAGCTCAATCTCTTCCCCAGGTAAGGTGATACTGTACTTTGGCTATAAATAACGTTAGCGTTTGGCATGGAACTTTGTCAAATACCCTGTCACAGCATTGGCCACCACTATTTATTTGATTCAAAAATCTTGTTAACTTGAAACCCTGATTTTATTTTTGTTTTGTTTTGTTATTTAAATGAGTATTGATGTAGATATACCATTTTGACCACAATTCATTGTTCCTCATCATTAACGAAAGCCGTAGTTTCTCAAGAAATTGTAAATTGTGGCATTCAATTGTTTTAGAAGAAATCTTGTGTACTACAGAATATTTATTTCTGCAGCAAAAGAAGTACTACCTCCGTCTTATTTTATTTACGCCTGTTTCGGTTTACGATGTTTGACTGAAATTATTTTCAAACCATTTTATATGACAAATGATATAGAATTAAAAAATAAAAATTACTCCATACATATTAAAAAGCTACATCAAAAGATCTACAAAAGTAGTAGTGACAATAATATTTTATTTTATCAAATTGTTAATGAAAATAGAGAAAAAAAGTGAATGAAGTTTGATCCTGTGAATAGTAAACAGACATTATAACTTGGGACTGAGGGAGTATATTGTTTGGTGGGCGAAACATTGTTCATATGATGTGGGCTTTATGAAATCTAGAAAAATAAACCTAAAATTCAAGTGTTTGAATTTTGAAAAGGTTAAAAATAGCATGAGGCCTCAATAACTATCGTTTAGAGTTTGTTTTTTTCGACTTATTATTATTACTTATTACATATTTATTGTTTATACTTATAAGAATCAGTTCATGTCAGTTCATAAACTAAATCAAAAACAATTTTAAATTTAACTTTAATTAGGTTAGATCTATGGGTTAGATCTATCTTTAATAAATTCAGATCAGAGCAAACGAAGAGACCATGCTCTTACTGAACATTTATGAAATTAGATGTGTTCAATGTTATTTTGATATAGATATATTTCAAGGGTTAAAAATAGGTAAGTTGTATTTAAACTTCTCCTTAATGGTGGTTATTGGCTGGCCATGATGGTGGTTGATTGATGATGACCCCAATGGTGGTTGGTGGGTGGCCGTCGGTGGTGGTAATGGTTGACAATGATGATGGTGTGTGGTTGTTGGCCAACGACGATAATGGTTGTTGGCAACTACGGTGGTGGTGTGTAGCTGGCAGTTGCTGACGACTATAATTGTGGTGGCAAGTAGAAGACAGTAATCAACAATGGTAGTGTGGCAGGCGGATGTCTAATGACAATAACGATGGTCGTTGGAGATACCAAGATATTCCAAAAGCTATCTTCAAAACTTGACAATAGACCTGTGCAAATAAAGATCCGGGCCTGATCTGGGCCAGGGGCTTGATACAAATTATTAGCCTATTTGCATGGGCAGGCTTGACCCGGCCCGGATTTGATGGGCTAAACTCTTTACCCATACCCGCCCACCTTAGCGGGCCGAACTGCCCACCGGGACGCCCGGTCCGGATAAAACATCAAGTAAATCTTTTTTACACAAAAAAATCAAAAAGAAAATATTGAACTCTTTTTCAAATGTTTAAAATAAAATTAACACTCGCCACATTTGCATAGAAAACATAATAGAAATATTGTTACATACTCCCTCCGTCCCAAATTTGATTACAAATTCCGGGTTACGGAGTAAAATTTTCTACTTTTTGAAATCATTTTATTTACAAATTAGTATATCAATAAGATATAAAAATTACATGTTAAAAAACTACGTCAAAAGTTCTAGAAAACAAGAGGTGACAAGAATATTTTATTTTATCAAATACTTGATGAAATCGCGTAAACAAACAAAAGTTATTGAGAGGAGAGAGAAAAAAAGATTGTAATCCATTTAGGGACGGAGGGAGTAATTAATAAACCCATCATACAGATTCATTAAAAGACTATTGATTTTTGTTTAAGAGGGTGAGTGATATGAACTATTATACATGAATTCAAGAAAATTTTAAAATTTGTATTGTCTAGGTAATTAATAATAAAGTAAATGTATTTAATGAATATGGGCGGGCATGTTGGTCCGGATGGGCTAAAAGTAACTTCCAGATCCGCCCAAATACAATTCGGGCTTGGGCCGGCCCGCCCATGTGGGTATTAAAGATTGTTCATATCCGCCCATTTTAAAGGGCGGGCCAGACGCGCCGCCCCTTGTTTGCACAGTCTACTTGATAAGTATTACTCCCCCCGTCCCGTTTTAAATCGTCTGTTTTGACTTTTGGACATATTTAAGTAAAAGAAAAAATAGAGTTGATTTTCTAAAATTGTCATTACGTTTTAGGAGGGGTGACGATGAATGAGAAGATAAGGTGAAGAAGAGTGACTTATTTTAGGAGTAATTTAGGTATTTGATTTTTATTAGTTTACCAAAACAACTAACATGCAATTTATTTTGGGACAGAGAAAAAAGGCAAACGGAGAATTTAAAATGAGACAGAGAGAGTAAAAAACTTCTATTTGATTATGTTGTAATATCAGAAATTTTAAAAAGTATAAAAACACAAAATATTTGTGACTATGAGAAATAAGTACTCCCCACGTCCCCCAGTTTTTGTCCATTTTTTACTTTTGGAACTGTTCATCTAAGCACTTTGACTCGTCAAATTTTCTCAATGTGTAAACCTAAATATAGTCATGTGTGATCTTGTTTGATTTGTTTTAACATATAGATTATTAATATATAATTTCTATAATTTTTTTAATATACAAATTACAAGATAAAATGGATTAAAGAAGTGCATTGGATGATGTGTAAAAATGAAAGAAGACAAATACTCTGGGACGGAGGGAGTAGGAAAGAAGAGGAAACACTCAAGAAACACTAGGATAACGATTCATTCTTATTAATCCAAAGAATAATTTGATTCTCAAACCACTAAATATAGAAAAAGCTATGAATTATGCTATGTACAAAGAAATTTGAATATCACTTCAATTTTAAAATTTGGATTCGTTATTAAACTTTATTATGAATTCGAAAAATTCGAGAAATATGAGCCAAATCTGATTTGAAATCTAAACTTGAGTTCCAAATTGTGTCATTAACATTATATTTGGTTCGAGAAATTTGAAAGACAAAATAAAAGAAAATAAAATGAAAAACATTTTTTTGGTGGGATTAGAAAAATAGAAAAAAAAGTAGAGGAAAAAGAAAATAATAAAACAAAAATGTTTTAAGAGGATGAAAAACAAAAATCCTTGGATTTTAGTGAGAAGAATGACAAGAGACTATTTTCTTTTTCTTTTACTTTCAAATTTTTTGAACTAGATATAGCACTCCATACTTCGTACGAGTAATTACGTAAGAGTATTGTGGGACCATCGGTCTTGACACCTGTCCTTTCGGTTGGGCTTCAGCCATCTCCGGGCCTTTTCCTTCTGGGCTTTTGTCCATAAATGTAATGGACGACCCCTAAATAAGCAATGCAAAAAAACCTACAAGAGGCCCAATCCACTACTAAAAAGTCTCTCATTTTTCGATTCGAATCAATCACAGAAAAAATAGGCGGCTTATCTTCCCGCCTTTTCCTCCTCTGTACATTTCTCTCTCTCTCTCTCTGGACACTTTCGTCTTCATCCAATATAATCACCTCTCAACCGCACAGAAACTGGCAGTTTCAGCTTTATTCATCCCTGTATCGCGAATCCAACTGGAGTGCCCTCTTCCCTGTAAAACCCTAGCTCTTATATGACGGGCGGAGGAGATGACCGGGTTACCGTGAGGAGATCGAAGAGGAGTACCGCATTGGAGGCCACCGCGAATGGGTCTCTGCAAGTCCTAGGGCTTCCGGCCACGAAGAAGCGGGTTGTATTGGGCGATATCACCAACAAGTGCTCTGGTCAGAACTCTGATCTCAGGCGATCCCAGAAATCCGGATCCACACCCGAATTGAAGAAGGTGGGCGGCGAGGAAACTCCCAATGCTGGATCTGTTTCTGTGAATCGGAGCCCCGAGAAGACTCACAAGTCTTCCTGTGCGCCTCTCATTTATCGCCATCTTCACTCCATGGAGGTACGAATTCTACTTTCGCCAGGATTGTGCTTCAGTTTTCCATTTATTTGATGCGTTTCTGTTTTGCATTTATGTTTTTTTTCTCGATATTTGGAGTAGTAACCTCTGATTAGGGTTTAGGTTGAGAAGAAGAGAAGGCCTTTGGCAAATTACATTGAGAAGGTTCAGAATGATATGTCTCCCAGTATGCGGTTAATTTTGGTTGATTGGTTGGTGGAAGTCGCTGAAGAGTATAGACTCGTTGCAGATACACTCCATCTCACAGTCTCGTACATTGACAGATTCCTTTCGTTCCGTGCTCTGAACCGGTCAAAACTTCAGCTTCTGGGCATTTCTTGCATGCTCATTGCATCGTAAGCTCGCGAAGCTCTCTCGTTTGATTACTAAATCATGGTGTTATTTTATTCATTCCAGGGTAGTAACTCAAGATCACCAATTTTGCAGAAAGTATGAAGAGATCCAGCCACCACATGTTGAAGACTTTGTGTATATCACGGACAATACATACACTAAAGTGGAGGTCAGATGCTCACCTTTTATCTATATATCATATTAGTTCTGCTTGGATTTCGTCTAAGGGTGTGCATTCAAAGATGTGACTTCTTTTGTCTTTATGTTAGGTCATTGCCATGGAGAGTGATCTGCTGAAGTTTTTAGGTCTTGAAACTGGCAACCCCACAACAAAAACTTTTCTCAGGTTGCTCTTGCCTTTATCACATCAAATCATTTTCAATTCCAGAAAAACATATTTCTACTAACATACCTTTCTTAATCTCCTTTTATGGAACGAATCATGCAGTTGGCATTCTTTCATTTCATTTCTAAATAAATCTTAATCACAAAGTTTCATTTTCTTAATTTGTGTGCCAATTACAAATTAGAAGTTTATTTACAAATTGAGAAATAATAATGTTACCTATGTCTGAAAAAAGATGCCACTCATAAATCATGAGCCATTTTGGGTTTAATTGGATCTCTTGACTTTTCAGTTTCCTTAAATTTATCATTTTGGCAAAGTACATGAAGAATTAACCGTGTTTGTTTTAATTGGACTTCTTTTTGGGGAGAAATAATTGTTTCGAATATGAATAGAGTTTTGGGGGCGGATGTAGTAATTTGAAAAACTAAAAATTCATAGCCTTTGATGGCTGCTTTTAATGTATCCTCGTCATAGATACTGGTATCATTTTGGCTTGGTTGGCTAATTAGAACTTTTTGGACAGGATCTTCACCAAACCTTCTCAAGACAACATAAAGGTATGAAAATCTTTTGTACCGTTTGTTTTGTCCTTGCTATACGATATGTTTTTTTTTCTCTTAAATCATCATTAGGTTGTACTGATGGTTCTGAAACCTGTCTACAGTTTTCAACAATGGAATTTGAATTCTTGTGTTGTTTTCTCGCGGAGCTCAGCTTATTAGATTATCGCTGTGTCCAGTACTTGCCATCACTGATTGCTGCCTCTGCTATTTTTCTTGCAAGATTTACAATTCTACCAACACTTCATCCCTGGGTAAGATTTAAGAGCCTTCTTTATGTTGTCATTAGTAGGATTTGGTTATCAGATTAAAGGAAAATTTGTAGGAATATTTCCAAGTTTGACATCCATAGTTTTGATATTTTGCTAAGAATAATCTCAGGTTTGCTTCAATCTTCTATCAATAGTTTGTGCACTGGCAACATTTAACTAGCATTAGTATTTGCTTATGTAGCATGAATTTCCACCAATGTACATCGACAAAACAGGAAGATAAAAGGAACATTAGGAGGGAATGTAGGGTATGTTTGGCCTATCTTGCTAACAATATAGGTGAAAGTTAATACTCTACTTGAATTAAACATTCAAGTATATGTCATTTCATAAAGGAGTTAATTGAAGGCTAACAGCTTTAAAGTGTGCGGATCATTTTTGAAATATTGAAGTTAACTTGATTATTATTTGCAACATAATCACTTGGGATTATTATTGGAAGACCAGCCAAGCCTGGATTGTTCCAAGAAATTATTCTTAGACATCATTTTTTTGTAGAGCTCTGCACTGCAACAGTATACTGGCTACAAACCATCCGAATTGAAGGATTGTGTTCTTGCATTACATCAAATGCATTTGAATAAAAGAGTGGGATCCGCAGTGGGAGAAAAGTACCATATGCACAAGGTATGTTTTGCTGCTTTCCTCTGTACATGTGATCAGAGAAATGTTTCTGTTATCATAGCTAAATAATGTAATTATTTACATTTTCTCAAACTCACTTTTTTTCGAAAAAGGAAGAAAAACTTCTCTTTTTCCTTTTTTTTATCCTAAAAAAGTTTTCCTCTCTTTAAAGAAAGGCAAGAGTGGTTTGTAGCTCTTTTCTCTCTAAATAACTTCTAACCATACGGTTTTCACGCCTCAATTTTCTTTAAAATTTTGTGAAAGTCTCCACGTTTTTCACAAAATTCCTACCGTTCTTGTAAAGCAGTACAAACATGTTGCTACAATGTGTCCACCATTGGAAATTCCTTCATCTTACTTTCGTGATGCATGAAGAAGAAAGAAAGGGGATACACAAGAGGTCAGTGGTGCCGTGTTTTGAAGAACTGCAGAGTATAAACTGGGGATTCTTAAGGCCCTGTTTGGATGCAAACCTTGAAAGGGAAGACTTGCAATGAATTAGAGCTTGTAAGGTTTAGCGGAAAAATTCAGTATTTCAATAATTGATTTTGTGCACAATCAATTATTGTTGCAATTTCTGTTGTAATTACAGTGAAAGTCAACTTTTGTTTCGATAAGCCTGCTCAAAATTTCGTTGAAAAATACTCATTCCGTCCCAATTTTGATTACAATCTTTTTTTCTCATCTCTTGATAAATTTTCATTAATTATTTGATAAAATAAAAATATTCTTGTTATTTTTTATTTTGTAAAACTTTTGACGTAGCTTATTAATATGTACTCCGTACCTAATATTTTTATTTTTATTGATGTAACAATTTATAAATAAAAAGATTTTTAAAATATTGGGTTTTGTCTTGTAAATTTTAATTTGTAAACAAATTTGGGATGAAGGGAGTAATTTTGTTTGCATATGCTACCAAAAGAACACACTTTTTTAGAAGGGGGTTTCAATTTTTAAAATGAACTCATTACAGATTTCACAATTCACACTTTTTTGAGAATCATTCACCAAAAGCATTGAAGAACAACTTAGTTATGGTCGAATAAAATATGACTTATGTGGCCCAAATCAATTTATACTCTATAAATGTAATATGACATCAACTTCTCCCTTTATTTTGTGCACAGGGAATATAGTTTTTTTTCTTAAAAGAAGAATAATACAAACGGCTCAATGATTATACATTTATACACATAATAAAAGGTGTCATAGATTCATAACATATTGGACTAACTAACTAGTGTATATCCTTCACACTCACAGTCTCCAGCTCCTCGTTGAATGTGTAGGTTCTTCCAGGCAATATGTTCAATGTGATACTGATTCCTTTATAATGTAATCTTGTAAAAGTACAACTTTGAGCACATGACCAAAGGCAAACTTGGTAAAGCTGACCTTCATTCCAACAGATGCTGACCGTCACGCCACCACGGGCCTTTAAGCCCTTGACGCTGCCGTTCGGCCATTTATGCAGAGGGAGCGCGGGAAGCAAGTATAAATCTGTCATGCTGCTCTGAACCAGCATCTCCGACACGGCTGCTGTAAAGCTGGTTCAAAAAAGGAACACAGATTAACACCTTCATCTATAAGCTTACTATTTTGCATCATTTAAAGTAGAGAAGTTGCAGTGAATGTGATAGGAAGATGTTCTCACCCAAAATTTGCATCTATCTGGAATGGCGGGTGAGCAGCAAATAGATTACCGTAAAGCCCTCCCTCAAAACTGGCCTCATGTTCAGGATCCACCAATGAGAAGAGATGCTTGACCATTTGGTATGCTCGTTCACTATCAAGAAGGCGTGCCCAAAGAGCAGCCTTCCACACCGTAGACCACCCAGGACCATCATCTCCTGATTGAGAAAAGACATTGAATTAGCCTTTAAGACTGTAGAATATCCTTGTCCCAAAATGAAGTTCGCGGTTTGACTTTACGGAATTTTAAAAAAAGTCTTGAAAAAAAATACACCAGTTCTAACAAAATCCCATATAGCGTGAACTGGGGAGTGTGTGTATACATAGACCTTACCTCTATCCAGAAAATAGAGAGGTTGTTTCTACTTTCTAAGTCTTCTAAGAGATCCCGACTCGAGACATAGGAACAAAACATAAAATGGAAGTAGCTCGGACAAAGAGATAACACAAATAGAACAAGTTGATTCTCGGAAATACTCACCTCCTTCCTTACCCTAGTCTCGGTAATCTAACTCCAGACCTTGAAAAAGTAAAAAGTGTGCGATTGGAAGTGTAAGTTTATCATGGGACAACCCAAAAAAGAAGTGTAAACATCATTTTGGGACAGAGAGGGTATATACCAAGGGTGTAGCTTCAATAAATTCATGACATGACTTTCCTACTCCTTTAATCACATACCTCTTTTATACAGAGTGTTTTCTGCAGCTTTACAAAGGACAAGGTTTTTTTCAGGTGTTATTGAGTGCCCTGGAAATAGGCCAAAAAGATGTGAGAGATGACGATGATGCACCTCAGGATCCTCAAAATCTTTTGCCTGCACATTGCAGAGGAATTAGAAACAGAACTGTTAAAGTGAAGAGTCATTTTTATTACTGGTAATTGATTAAAAAAATTTAAAAATATTGGGGTCAAGATTGGAAATCCAAAGTTTTTGCAAGCACCCATTCCATTAAAGAACCGTCCTTCGAAATTTTGGTTGGACAAAGACGTGACTGAGCATTTTGAACCCTCAATATCAGATCATCTTGATTTCTGTCCAAAACCTGTTCATGAAAAAACATTCTTCTTTCAAATTCAAACTTTCTACTAAAGAGATAGAAAAGAAAATTTAAAAGTGGGATCTACCTTAGCAGCAAAAACAATGGCAGAGAAAACTTCTCGGATGATTGACATGTCCATGGTGGTTGAGTAACTCAAACTGGCAATTTCACCATTAGGGGCAATAAAATTGTGCTCGGGAGAAGAAGAAGGATTAGTTTCCAGATATCCTTCTCTTCCTTCAATCAACCAGTCCAGTAGAAATAAAGTACATCCTTCCAACAAGGGATATGCTGTCTTTTCCAGAAAATCCTGCGCAAAAACAAACTGTCAATCGAAGAGTGGTTTTTACTCTGGAAAATATTCATGTCTAGGGACAATGAATATCCTTGCAGAAATAGATGCTTCCAGGAGATGAAAAAGCTTTCTATTAATCCATTATTATGATTGTGTCTGCCGAATGTTAAATGATACGGAGTAAAACATTCCGACTTTCACCGAGGTTTTGAAAGGCGAAAACTAGCTTCGAGGCGGTGGAGCAAAATGCCTTGAGGCGTAAGCCTCGAGGCCGAACGAGGCGTACGCCTCAACTCAATATGAAAAAAATAATACTAAAATATGTATTCCGAGGTAAAACAAAATGTATAATCCATTTTCATGTTAAATAAATGATAAAATCATAATTCCTGAATTTTACAAAAAATGATACCCTACGTTAATTCTTAAAACACAAAAAAATAGAATTAGAAAAATTAAACACAGTAACATAAAACACAAATTCTCAAACCCATCTCCAAACCTTATAAATATTAAATATGGACAAATGTTCATGCAAAAAGAAAAGTTACTAGATTCTCTCGAGTTTGAACCAAATTTCATAGAGGGAGGGATGTTGGAAAAGAAGGAACCAGAAAAATTAAAAGTTAATAGAAGAAGATGAAAGAAATAGAAGATAAGCTATTATATATGAAGCAGTTGCCTTAGCGGCTACCACAAGAGTGAAGCAGTGCTCCTGAAGTCTGAAGATGGAGAGAAGTGCGGTTGAAGATGGAGAGACGAAAGTTAACACTAAAGTCTTGGAAAGAGGTGTTAATTATCTACTAGGTTTATTAAGTTTTCTTAAGAAACTATATAGTGCATTAGCCCAAAAGCATTTTTTGTAAAAGAGGCCCAATAGCTTTTTTAAAATAACCCTTATAAAAGTTGAAATTATTATTAAAAGTGAGGCTTATGCCTTACCGCCTCGGACCACCTCAACATTGTGAGGCTTACGCCTCAGGTATACATTTTAAGGCTTAAGCCTCAGAGGCGAAATGCAAACGCCTCGGGCACCTTTTAAAACCATGACTTTCACATGAAGCATGCTTTAGAATGTTATGAAAAGAAAGTTGTAATATTGCATATCAATCAGAATCTAGAAACAAGCTTTATAACTTAGCCATGTATTTTATAATTATTTAGAAAAGCCTGGGCTTGTACCCTGTCCATTGTGAACATATAATGCTCCCACAGATGTGTACAGAGCCATGCTCCACCCATGGGCCATATAGAATACTCCACATTGCCTGGATGAGGGGATGTTTTTGCCCATATATCAGATATGTGATGTACAACCCAGCCTCTAGCTTCATAGTTCACCTGTAAAACTCTCTGAGTGAATACATTGATGTTTACATATAGTGGCATGCCGCGTGTGTGCACACACATACATGGTAGTGAAGGATGAAAATTTTGCATTGGAAGAATTTTGAGAAGTCTTAAAATAGTTATATTATGAAACTCTGACTTCAAATTCTTCCTTTCTTTAATTCCTTGGCACTGAAAATGCTCTGCTTCTAGCTCAAAATATCCAAATTCCCAAAGATATACTCCCTCCGTCCCCAAATATTTGCCACACTTACTTTTTCAGGAGTCGCAGGAACTTTTGTTTATTTCTACGTTTTCATTGGTTATTTGATAAAATTGAATATTCTTGACACCTCTTATTTCGAAGAACTTTTCATGTAGTTTTCTGATATGTAAATTTTATTTTTTATTTCTATACGAATATGTAAATATACTGAATTGAAACAAATTAATATTTTACCTCGGGAATACAAGTGTGACAAATATTTAGGGACGGAGGGAGTATTATTTTAAAGTTGAGAAATACCCACAAAGTGTGGATATTTTAGTTATTCTAAATCAGTAGTACATACTACATAGTTTAATTTTTTGGCAAAGTCAAGTATCAGTAGTACAACGATTTAGTATAATATGTCGGTCCAAAAATTTCATTGTATGCTACGTAGTACATACTAGTTCGTAAGCACACAATGAAAGTGAAAACAACACTTACGCTCGCAGTTTTGCTTCCATTGGATGAAAGAAGTGATATATAGTCATGTAGAGGTTGTTGACACTCCTTGAGATTGCAAGGGAGAGCAGGCCAGTAGTTCATCTGAAGATTGATATTCAAGTGAGGGGCAGCCCTGTCAAGGAGAGACAAGCAAAAAAAAGATGAGTACAAAGAACCGAAAAATCATTTTATGGAGAGGAAAACAAAGTACACTTCTTTAAATAAGAAAATGTGGCTGAAATGCATTTACACATACTCCCATGCTGGCTCCATATCATTGTTCCATATACCCTGCAAGTTTGCTGCCTGAGTTCCAGTGCGTGAACAAGCAATTAGTAGATATCGCCCATACTGGAATAAAAGCTCCACCAAACCAGGATCTTCATCAGCTGTGAAGGATTTCACTCTCTCAGCTGTTGGCCTTAAACCATTACAACTTTTGGATAATTTTCCATCATTATTTTTGGAAAGATTCAGTGAGACACGCTGGAATAAATTCTGATAGTCATCCAGATGGCGTGAATAAATTTCCAAATACGAAAATCTTTTACTATCACTCAATGTTTTTTGAGACTCTGAAACGGGATCCCTCCTCGATTCTGATGGCTTGGTGAATGGCCCATCAAATGTGGAAGATGCCGCCAAAAGTATGATAGCCCAGTCACAACCCTCGACCTGAAGTCTCTTCTCATCCAAAACTCTAAATGTCCCTGATCCACTACTTATCTGTAAATCTAAAACTGCTGAAAATTGAATGCCATCTTCCAGGCTCTCATTTTTTCCGCGACAACTACCTTCCATTATGATCTGATTTTTCCCATTTGTATGAGAGCAATGTTGCATTTGACTGTCCATTGACATGGTGAAATTAATAGAACCAGGTTTGTTTGCAGTTAGTTTTGCTGCAATCACCTGGTCTGGATTTGAGGAAAAGTATTCCCTTATAAATTCTGTTCCATCTGTGGAATATTTTACTTTCACTGTTGCAGTTTCTAAGTCCAAGACTCTCTGATATGTTTCTTCATTATAATTGGCATGTGAAGAATCAAATTCCAGCTTGATATCTCCAATAAGCTGATAAACCTTTACCATAACAGGAAAACAATGAGAATGTTTGTGATACAGGCTGAACTAGCTTTAGATAGACAAAAGGTCAAAGGTGCCAACACAAATCAAGAAAAGGAAAACACAACATCATGATAACAAAAACAACAAACTTTAATCTCACACGTGGGGTCTACGGCGGAAGGTGTATGCATACGGCGTACCTTACATTTTCATATACTAGATAGAGAGGCAGTTCCACAATAGCCCCAATAGGGTGAGGAAAAAGCAAAAAGCAAATCCACACACTACAAAGGAAGCAGATACAAATATACCCTGGAATGATATGACATTGAGTTCCCTTCGATGTAAAGTTATCTTGGAACAATGAATAAACATATTTGATTTAATTTGCTCCACTCCATAAGCCTATGTTCCTGAAGATACTCTTTGATTAAAACTTAAGCCTATGTATGGAAAACAGAAAATGGTAGGGAAAGGGGAAAAGTGCCAAGGGAACTTGTTTTTTATGTTTAACACGGAAAATACAAAGAAAATCAAATTTGGTTAAACCTTTATACGGAGTAAAATTTTTATAAATTTATACTCCCATCTCAAACTAATAGTCCACTTTGATTGGATACAAAGCTTAAGAAATCCTAAAAGTGTAGGTTGGAACTGAACTAAAAGAGAAATAATTATGTCCAGTTGTCCACATTTTCGGATTTTCCATTGCAAAAAAGGAAAAGGGATTCCATTTTAGGGAAGATCAAAAAGGAAAGTGTGTTTTTTTGGTACAGATGGAGTATGTCTTAGTCTATAATAAAAACATATATGTACAAGATTTGAAACAACTAAAAACAATTGATTTATTGATTTGGCCAAAGACCTTGTGGTCCAACGGCATGATGATGACTCTCCCGTATTGGAGGTCACATGTTCGATCCCCAGTATGGGTGGGTAATAACTCTACACATTCCTCTCTACGTTCCTCACTACTTTCTTTCCCAATCAACTCCCTGAATCCAAATGGACTGTGAGAGTATGTTTGTGTGTGGATCCCAAAATATGATAAGAGAAGTAAAACTGCTGAGGAAAGTTACTTCATTATGTTTGATTTAACCTTAAAAAAATACAAAGAAAACTTAAATATGATAATTTGTTAATTCTATTTTTTTCATGCATTTAGTTTCCTTAGTCTTCATATAATATAAATAAATTTTTTTTTAAAAAAAGGTACCAAGACTACCAACAAATATCTAAAATAAAATATTGATTTTTAGCCTTTCTCCCCCGCCCACATATCCTTTCTTGCCGAATTCCAACTTTTATCTATGTTTTTCTTACTAGCATGCATTCTAATTTCCGTAGTGTTTTCTATGTTCCAAATGAACACAACAGCATCAACACATGATCATTGTGGTTCCCAACTACAAAGAACTATGGGTTCTTCACACAAAGGAAAGGTCAGTACATTTTATGCAATCACACATGTGCTTATCACTCTCGATATATATTTTTCTGCATCGAACGGACTGACCTCGTTTGGTTTACCCACTAATTTGGATCCAGCTTTGGTGGCCTCAGCATATTGGCCATCATCAACGAGTTTCCTGACGACAGCAAGTGATTTGGGAGCATCAGGATCAGTATAATCGCCTGGCATTCCAGTCCACAAGGTGTCCTCTGTACAGACCTTAAAACCCTAGATTACTTCCCCTCGCTAATAAACAAAAAGGGTGGAGAAAAAAAGGTTTCGACGAAGAAGAAGGGTCACTTACCATTGAGATTGAGAGTTTCGGACTGAACACCTCCCCAGATCATGGCGCCAAGCCGGCCGTTCCCGATTGGAAGAGCATCTGTCCAATGCTTCGCCGGCTTGCTAAACCTAATCTCCAGCGGATTTCCCAAGCCCGAGCTCCACATGTCGGCGTCGGTAGATCGCTTCACTGGAATTCAACCGTCGCCGTCCGTTTCCAGGCAATTTTACCTGAGTTCTTCGACTGATATGGAATGGAACAAAATTCGCCTTCTTATCTTGTTCAAATGCCATTGCGTGCACGATACAAGAGGAGTCTTGAGATCAAAGGAAGAAACTGGGGAGCAAATTGGGCAACGTGAAGCTAGAAAAGAGGAACGGCCAGCAATTTGGGCGGGTAAAAACAGAAAAAAGGCGGGGGCCATGGTGTTCTCCCTCCTCATTGGTCTGGCTGTCACATTGAGACTTGAGAGTGGTTCAAACAAAATAGTGGCAGTGGGAGGTATTTTGAAAAGTGTAACACAAATTTAAGTTTTTAATCTTTTTTTAAACTTTGTGCCCCATCAAATCGATAATTTTTTTTGTGAACGAAAAGAGTAATGTAATAGTTGTATAAAATGAATCCATAAATAAATAAAATTGTATTATTTATTCAATGTGTCATAAAATAATGATTTTTTAAAATTTATTTTTCAAACATCTATTTTATTACTAGTATTTAAAATGAGTGCATTTTTAACTTAATTGATAATTAATAGTTAACTAATTTTGTTCAAAAAAGTCAAAATGAATAAACAAACACATATTTTAATTTCTCTATGCACGCGGCCAAAGAACACAGGAGAAGGAACCCTTCTCTTTCTCATGAATAATTGTTGAAAAATGCTCGATCTTTCCTGCTTCGTGAAGTTAAGATAAGCAATTAGGAATTGATGTAGTAGTAAAAACACTAGAGTTTATAATAGTTCAAAATAGAAATTCTTCCACTATACAAAAGAATAGTAGGATTACAAGAATACATATTTACAAAATTGACTCACAGTATGTTGACTTGCTCAAGCTCATTAGGATTAGAACTTTCTAATTAATTAATTAAATAAAAATAATTAAGTAATTATTGAGACGGACTCGGGGTTAGTTAAAAATATTTGTCAGTAAATTATAAAAAGTATATCATTATTGTGTAGCTAGGGTTCAACGAGACGAATCCAACGGTGCAAACATATTTGAATTCGAAACAAGTGGGTCCGAGAAGTATATTTTTCTGGGATACGTTATTTAATTATGGAGAACAAAACCCTATAGCTATAAGTAAACCGTATTCATGCATGTGAAATCACCGCCCTAGCCGCAAAACCCCTACACGGTTGTACGACCTCACCCCCTCGTCTCTTTTTACGCACGAAACCACGGGAGGAGCGAACCGCGAAGAAGAAGAAGAAGAGAAGAAGAAAAGGACCGTCGCCGCCAACCTCGTCGTTTTGTAGCTAAACTTTCATCGGAAATCAGACCTAGCTTTTAATATTCACTGGATAGCCCTTAACAACTACTCGACAAGTATGGTAGGGGCATTTTAGACCATTCATGTCCTTGAAGAACATTTTTTCGAGCTGGTGGAGTACTACTTTTCCGAAGTAGGGGCATTCTAGACCATTCAATGGATAGCCCTTAACAACTACTTGACAAAGTGTGAACTTCTTTTCTAAGCTGGTGGAGTACTACTTATTTTTATTGAAATCAGATTAGAAAGAGTTTTAAGTATAGCTACATTCAAATCGATGGAAACTTATTTCAATCAGATGAGAATCAGAGTTTTAAGTATAGCTACATTCAGATCAATAGAAACTTATTTCAATCAGATGAGAATAATTCAAATAAGATCAAGAACATGGTTAAGGACCAAAATCTCTACCAAAAACTGATCTGGGTATATTTAATACGAATATATTCTGAATAATAGTTTTGAAATATCAAATTTTTATAAAATATATTAATGTATAAATATAAATATCAAAGATTAAAGTGCAATATTTAAGACGCTAAAAAATGAAATGAGAAGAATATTTTCGGAAGAAGGGATTAAAAAATTTGTTTTTCATTTCTTTCATTTCTATTTTCCTTTAATCCAAATTTAACTGTAGAAACTCGAATTCCTCATTTCGTTCATTTTCTCTTTCCTTTGTTTTTTCTGTCATTTTCCATACCTTCCGGTATTAACCGCCGCCCTGGTTCAAAAACCTACCTGAGTTATTGAAGTCAAATTGGCATTGCCGCCATTTATCAGCTGCGAAGAGGAGGCGACGGCAGAGAAATGAAGAAAGCGTTAATGGCGTATGCGGAGGTGCTCCGGCTGGTGAAGAGACTTCCAGAGGACACGAGGCCTTACTATGCCAAATACGCTCGGGAGAACTTCGTCAACTACCGAGAAATCGACGCCGACGATTCTGTCACTCTCCGCGATCTCCTTCAACGCACTTACAACCATTCAATCTGGGTCTTGAAGAAGGTGAGTAGAACAGTCTTCTACTATATTTCTGTTATACTCGTGCATATTTAGGTTTTTTTTTGTTTTTTGGTTGTGATTGTGAATTGTGATTCGATTCCAGTATTCTGTGGATCAATCGACGGCAAATAGGCTGAAGGAGATCTGCTCTGCTTGATTGGTTTATCCACGCCCACAAGGTGTTTGCTGATATTCTCCACAGAGGCAAGTTTGGAGTTTATTCTTGTTTTTCTCGTGCTGGTACTAATTTTGCACCCCCTTTGTCTTTATATTCAACCTTTTTGAAGAACATGTCTTTTATGCGCAAATAACGTGAGCAAAATGTGCTTGCCTTGTCTGCTCAAAATCTTTCCCTTGTTACAAATTACAATGCCTTCTGTTTGGCACCATTACATTTTAGTGTTCCTTCCTAAACATTTTCAGCTCAACACTATTACTTTCGGGCTAAAAACCAGTTCCTATGACTTTTCAAAACATTGTACTCAATTAATCAATTTGAAGTGTTACAAAGTCGTTTGTACTTTGTAGTATAGAGCATTAATTTTGAGTAAAAAAGTGTCAAGTTTCGCCGGCTGGCTTCACATTTTAATTTTTTATGTTTCTTATTTTTTGGGTCATGATGCTATATCAGCTTCATATTGAGATTTGGGGAAAAAGTTATGGTTTTATACTTCTTTGCTCAAAGTGGCAAATACATTTCAGAAAAATTCTTCATCAATCATCAAAGCACTAGTTTTATGATCTAAACAACACCGAAAATTCCTTAGAGTTGATTTCATATGGAATTCAAACTAGATGCTAGTTATAGGAGTAACAAATGTCTGCTAAAATCGAGTTTTTTTGGGGGGATTGAAAGTCTGTTAAAATGGAGTTGAAATAGTTATAATTTATAAGTCTTTTTGATGTTATAAAAAGTGGAAAATAATCAAAATTGATACCACAAGACATAATTTCACATTATTTGGTACCATAAGATATGAGGCCATCAGTTGTGATGCCACCATATATTAGAACCAATCAAATGCGGTATTTTCTGTTAACTTTTAATGGAATGCTGTTACTCCTATTAGAATGGGGTCTTTAAATCTGGTAATGTACCAGCACATATGAAAATCAATGAAATGTGATTTTTTTTCCTTCATTAATAATGTAGTTGATGGGTTAATAATGGCTTCTGGCCCAATAAGAATACCTACCCATCAACCGGAACAGACCAAACAATGTGGGCTTGCTGCTTAATAATCAAGGCCCATATCATTATTAATAATAACCTTGTGGGCCAAACCCGAGGACTTGCTTCTGAGATGATCTCGTCAAAGATATGTTCCATGAATAATGCCAAAGAGGATCAAACATCATAGGACATAGGCATGTATTACGTTAGAAAAGACCTCATATGCCATGCCTAGAGGGAGCCGGTTCACCCCATCTGCCCCTAGATATACCGCAACTGTCTTATATGCAGTTGTTCCCAATCCGTATGATTATGTAAAGGTAGACATAACCATCATATATTGTGGTTAGGGAAAGGGGAAGTCCCATGTTTAACTTTCCCTAGTAAGAAATTGGGCATGCCACCTAGAACTTTGTTACACACACAGCCACAACAATACAATGCTTGTATTTTTCATTTAGGGCTTGAGTTCGAGGCTTACACTGATATATCTAGTTGCTAATTTGGACATCTTTGGCCCCTACACTTGAATATTCATTCACTTATTGTATGATTAGTTACTTCTCCCATTCTTGAGTTCAAAGCGAGTACTATCAAAAGCTGCTCCAAGCCTAGTTGGGTAGTTTCATTTGTTTTCCATAAAAAATCAAAGTTTTCCAAACCAGAGAGATGTTGAGTCGAGGCCATGGGTAAAAACAAGAAACATGGCTAGAGGAAAACAAGCCAGCGGCACATAAATTCTCGGCATTTATGTGAGAGTGAAGCGTAGTTTCATTTGTTTCATAATGCCGATTCTATTTTTCTTTTTATATGTTCCATATTAATGTACGGATTAACCTGTTTCTGTTTTTCAAAATGTCACAATTAATACTTCGTAGTTTGGAGTATAATGTAATTTTTCATTTACTTGACTCACTTTCTTCTCTAAACTACCCACCCCAAATTCATACAGTACTTCAAACATTTCCTTTATGGTATGTTTGGGAATATGAATTTGGATTTCAAATCCGGATTTAGTTCAAATTCCATGTTTGGGAAACTTACAAATTTTGAATTTGGATTTGAATCAAATTCTTCTCATTCATAACAAAGCTTAATTTTAAATTCATGTGCATTCCCTTGTCATTTGAAATTCAGGATTTCAAATTTTGGAATTGAAATGAAATCCTAGTTGGCAAACACTACATTACTTCTTTTTTACTTCTTTTGCTCTCTCTTCTCTGTACCCTGCCCGGCCTGCCGACCTTTGCCAATTGCCACATTAAACAAGTAGATGGAATACAACTTTAAATGGTTTTAAAGGTGAAAACCACCAAATACTTTCACCTTTTAGTCGTGTTGTACGGTGATGCCAGTTGTTTGTTTTAGCGTGACTTTGGTTAGTTTGGTACCTCACCTTTTTAAAAATGTTCTCCAATCATCCTTCTTCAAATTGGAGGTCAATGCACAAATACCAGTAAAATGCCGACGTGGCTTAACATTCTTTACACTTGTTTTAATGGAATTTGAGTAGTGAATACACCACTATATCAAAATGATACATTGAAATTCTTTCAGCTTCTTACTCT